CAAGTACACCTTCTGAAAGTACATATCGACTTTGAAGAAAAAAGGGAAGGTTATGAGTGTTTGTTTCTGCACTTAGCCCTAACGAACCATGGTCACATAGATATGATAATATATCGTTCTTTGCATGACTCAGAGACACATTTTAAAAAAGGTTTTCAGAATCCAAATACCAGTCAATTTTTAGCATTTTCAGTAAAAATGCTTACCATGCAAATTCATTAAGCTGAACTGCTATACATTATAATCTCTGTGGATTGAATCATCGAAAGAGGAGATCCCAAATGACTGCACGGGAGTTGATGAGGCTCCAATATTTGAGGAAGATTGATGCATTGATCCAGGCAACTACAGATAAGTTTTATCTTACCGCAATGTTCATGCAAATTACTGTGAATGAAATTATGCAAAGGTATCAGAAGGCCACTGACGAAGAGCAGTGCTTGGATTAGATATTCATTGTAAGACAGTCAACGGGGTAATAAAAGTAAATAGCAATCAAATTAGTTCTTATCTTTGGTGATTTCACAACGGCATTTTACTCAATCCGGCGAAAGATGCCTTTGAAAAATCGAGGAAAAATATGCAATTTCCCCAAAATGTTTTGCGAAATTAAAAGATGTAAATTTTTCCTCAAATCCAGAACAAATTGATCACGTGTTAAACAGGTTATTTATTTTAATGTACAGAGTTAGGCAAGGAGGAGTGAAATCTTTCCTGCGGTTTGGGATATCGATTGCAATAGGTGTGAGAGAGTGAAAAGATGATAGCGATAAGCGTGAGCAACATTTGCATAAACTCTCTTGCATTTGTGGATGATACCGTATTGCTACTGGAAGCTTAATCGTAGCTGTGCCATAGTTACTCCTAACTCTGAAACACTGCTGTTCTGATAGGCATCAGTCGATTAACTTATGGAAGACGAGATGTATGGAAATTTCTGAAAGTCAGACCAACGACTGTGTAACGCGTCACACAACAAAGTAATGGAAAAGGCATTTGATGGTTTATTATATTTATTATATTTTATAATTTTATACTTTATAATAACTTTATGCTTTTGCTACAGGCAGAGGAGCGGCGGACCATGTTAAGACACCCCTTGCGCTGGAAATAGCAGCCAATAATAAGTTATGCAACCTGTTTTGGGGTAAAACATTCCCATCTCAGCACATCTGCTCTCCAATTTGAATATGCAGTTCTACAATCTGGAAGAGG